GCCTAATTAAGCAATAGCTATTTAGAAGGTCTATAAGCTAGTCCTAATTAGGCAATAGCTTATAAGCTATAGGGTAGGTTGAAGGATCAAGTATTAAGTATAGCTGATTGTAAAGGTTATAGGGGGTTATAGGGGATATTAGTGATAGCTAGTGCTATAGACTAGCTATAGGGATGTAAAGACCACTGTAATAACCGCTATAAGCTCTATTTTCTTATAGCTATAGCTATAGCTTATAGCTATAGACTAATATAAACAGTTAAAAAAAGGTTATTAATTAAATCTAGCTATAGGGCTTTACAAGCCCTGTTTTATAGCAGCCGCTGCTGCTGACTAAAGCCTGTAGCTTAGCCCAAGGCCCTGTAGCTAAGCCTTAGGCCCGCTAGCTATCCCTAACATACTGCAAGTTCAACTAGCTATATAAGGCCTGTAGAGCTATAGGGAGCGGGCATAGCCTGAATCCGTAACACTTAATAAATTAACTAGCGGTTTATCTAATAGTAACTAAATTGAAAAAAAAAAAGAAATAAATTAATAAATAAAAAATATATTAGTAATAAGTATTATAGATTAAAGTTTATAATTACTACTAGTTGATAAAGTAATGCAAGGAAAAGAGTTTATTCCTTTACTAACTAAGGTATTACCCTACCTAATATAGGTTAGGATGACTGATTATGCTTATTAAACATACTGACTAATTAACTAGGCCAATGGCTAACTAATATACATAGTAGTATCTCACTAGTGCACCTGCTTAACTACTAACACAGTACCTCGATGTCTCGATTCTAGTATCCTCTCCAGCTGCTTACAGAAAACACTCCAAACGGCAAAAAGGTGCAAATTCTATTAGAGGAGCTCTATGATATATATGGGCTTTCATGGACCACCCGCCTCATCGACCTCGAAACAGACGAGCAGAAGAAACGCTGGTTCCTCCAGCTGAACCCGAATGGTATTTCTCAAATGTCCTTCACCACATCGCAAGCTCTTACAGTCTGGCATCACCTAGGCCGGATTCCTGTCCTTCTAGACGCCGTTGAAGCGGAGACTGTTGTTTCCGTCATAGCGAGCTCGGCTATACTCATCTACTTACAAGAGAAATACGATGAACGCAACGTCTTTGGCTTCCATTCTGCCCACGAAAAGAGCCAGGCGATACAGTGGCTGTTCTTCTGGCATTCTTCGGCTCCGGCGCAAGGGCACGCTCGACATTTTATGAAAGGAACCGCAGAACCTATACCATGTACGTAAACTTATATTTTCCAGTCTTAAGACAAAGGGAAAAGTTCAAGGACCTGGACTCAACGACCAACAATAGATGCAGCGCAATATGTCCAAAGGGCCATGCTTCGCATATACTCTGTGCTGGAATCTCACCTCAGCGGGCAGTATAACGGCCATTCCGCAGTGCCTCGCGAATACCTCGCCGGCGATGGGGTAGGAAAGTATAGTATTGCTGATATGGGCACTTGGCCTCACGTTCGATGATACCGGTCATTGGGATTCTTTGAAGAAACTGACATGCGGCCAAAGTTCCCGCATCTTCTACAGTGGATTGATCGCATAGCAGCAAGGCCTGGGGTGCGGAGAGGTATCGACGCCGGCAAGTATGACAGCGAGGAGAACCCGGGGCTTTTAGTACGGGCTGAATAGGCAGGGTCGGAATGGTATGACAAGTACCTACTGAAGCATACTTCACATATGAGATTTTGACCAAGCATAGCACTTTGAATCATGGTAATGAGAGAAGTGTTCAACGTACCATCATCAGACGAACTCTTAAGAGATACTGTGCGGAGAAGGTGCAATCAGCGTTATACTGTAGGTCAGACAACGGACCGTCCACGGATACGAAGAGGAACTGGCGAATGCGATCGGCCGTGGGTCCAGGGGGCTTTTTCCAGGGACACCGTTTCTATCTTTCTCATGAGGCGCGAGTTTGGCATGCTCAAATGGATAGATGCGAGGATGCGTCGGTGGACACTACCGTTAGCGTACGATGAGAAGCCAATTATTGCAGCTGGATTCAGCCAAAAGAACGTTGATCAAACAACATGCTTTTCAGCCGCCCCTGGCATTCTGCATGGTGTAGCTGATGAAGCGGCAGGGGTTTGATTGTTTGATGACGGCAGACAATCGAAGGGTGCTACACACTTTTCTTTGTTACATAGCAGTTGGCTGCTTCATTATTCCTTTAAACAGGTTCTGCATCTGATCTGAAAACAGATATGTTTAGGTGCAGGTAATTTTGGAATTCTGGGGAAAACAAGCAAACCAACAACACTTGAGCCGTTTTACTCGTACAACAACAAAAAAGGAGAGCCAACGGCAAACATCTCTTTGTATTCCATGCCCCAGCCATGGATGTTTGCGTCCATTTAGGAAGGGAACAGCGCCAAAGAGACACGAGTAGCACCAGCGATGCTCCGTCATGCGCCGATCGGTGGATGCATGAATAGCGGTGGCGCCGTGGGACCGACCCTGCTGAACTTTCAGATGCTCGAAAGAATGCTCAAACGATTCATGGCCCAAACATCTCCATCCAATGCCTTTTTTCCCTCTGAGAGACGACATTGGAGCATTCGGACATTGCAGCAGTGGTTGTTAGATGCAGAATAAAAAAGCTGCTGTGTTTTAAAAGAAACAATTGACAGTACACCATGTGTTTCACTGGTGGTTATATATATGTCTCCGCCTCCGGTTGAGATGCGAGACTCGTCGATCATGGTTCGACCATTTCGGGCCACCGGAAATTTCACAACCGGGAACCGATTTATCGATGGTGCTTCTAGACTGCCTTCACTTTTAAGATTTTTTTATTCTTATTTTTCAATAGCTAGTGGTATTCCCATTTGGACCCTTTGTAGATCTGGGGATACCGGCAAGAGACGCAACTTCCCGTCTACGACCCACGGCTCTTTCCTCGACGCCATCCGATCCTACGTACAGACATCCGTGTAACTGTGTACCTGCATGTATCTTTTCATGTCACAACCTGGTCTATGCCTTCTTCATAAAGCCATGAAAAGTGGAAAGTGGAAAGTGGAAAGTGGAAAGTGGAAAGTGGAAAGTGGACTCGGGACGCATGTCACAATCTTTGTCTCGTACGAGCACTTGCTCAAGCCACACATTGGTAGGCCTTGAATAAATGTGGAAATCCGAAACCTGCATGCGGAAGGGGCATCTCACACGGATCGACATGGAAGGTAACGCCTTGTACTGGAGCTATTCTGAGCAGGAGGCACTGATCCTCGCCTTTTAGCTTCACATCCTTTCCTTTCTAGTCGGCTCCTTCTTTGTTCTC